TGGCTTTGTCCGTATAACCTTCAATTTTATATGCCAGACCAATGCGCATGATTTGCCGGCGCGCGCGATGGCGCGCGTGATGCACTAGTATACGACAATCCGGAACTTGGCTGTGTGCAATCGCAGATACAGAAATTGTTCGCTTTTCAAAGAAAAACTAATTTTCATCGGTGTAAAATAAACTAAACCACTCGACGCAAGCTGGCTGCAAGTTTAGTTCATTGATACTCCCTTCGTTGTTTCAAATTGTGAATCAATCTTGCTTTTTTAGATATATGGTTTTTGTTAATATATCTGGAACTGTGAACTCACGGGGATGGAGATGCTCATGTCCATCAAGCCTGTCAGCAGACGATGTGCTAGGGATCGCTTGGACAAATGAACGACGAGTTACCGTTGCAAGTTGCAACACAAGTTGGGCCTGAGTTGCGCAAGTTGGATGGCGCTGTGGACTCACGAAGCCCTGGAATTTTGTCCGGAGATGCACCATCTGCCTCTGATTGTCTGTACTGAGATGACCCATGAGCGGTGTGGAATTATTGTTACCAAGATGACCCATGAGCGGTGTGGAATTATTGTTACCAGCAGGTGGGGCTAATTGACAATAGCGCTTTAACTATGTATTTTTTTTAGAGCGTCTCCATGAGTTCCCAAGGATTTCTTCTCAAAACCAGAGAGTTTTTCAACTCGCCAAAAAATATTCGGAGAAATAAATAAGACCATATTCAACAGTCACTCCTAAAATATAGAAGACAATTTTACATCAGCAATCATATACTATTTTTTAATTATCCTAACCATTTTTATATATTCATTATATCATGTATATTTGCATTAGGAATCATTTCCTACTCTTTATTCTTTTGCACGCCCTTCCACTTAAGATTGGCAGATGGATACGCACGTCTTCAACGCGCGGATATATCCGCGCTTTCGATGATTTTTTTCAATTGCCAAAAGATTGGGTGGTGGGATTAGGAATTCTTGGAGATGGGTTTTTTCTGTTCTTGCGAAAAATCCTAGATTGGGAGGCTTTTGGGGACTCTTGGAGATGCTCTAGCTACGGAGTAGGTTACTTATATGTTGAAATTCCTGAGCCACCACATTAATAGTATTCGATTGAGCGATCCTATAATTAAATGGTTTTATATACAGAGGAAAAACATCAAATCCTTCATAACTCTTGGAGCTGGAGCTATTACGCTAAACCTTTATATGAGAAATGGGAAAGAAATAGAAGGTATAGATGCTATAGAAACAAAAAGAAGTGTGCGATGTTCACACAAATGTAAATAAAAAATTAAAAACAAGTATAGACTAACACGTCCTACGGTTTTTAGCTGTGGTTTTGTGATGCTTGCATAGTCGCATCAGGCCGTTGCAACGCTATGACGAAGAGGTAACCTTCCCTTCTTGAGTGTAAAGTATCTGTATAAATTATATATGCTTTCCTATCTAAAGTAAACAAATTTTAATGAGTAGCCAATAGCCTATCCCAAAGCAGAGCAGCGCTATATGATGTAGTCCGATCCTTATAGCAATACCAGGAACAAAATAGATAGCGGCAGCCGTTTGGGTGTACCACACCAAGAACAAATAATTAACAAGATTAGGCTAAAGCCACATACATGGACGATGTTACAAACAGCGGCGACACTATACAAGTTTCTAGCAGCCAAGTATGTATATGGCGGTTTTGGTAAATGGTATGACTCATCTAGATAAGAAATTGACCCAACTTGTACTTTTTAATTCTAGGAAGCCAGATTATGGCTTGTTATTAGTATTTGAAAATGCCAAACTTTTTTGGTTTTGATCAACAAATGGTATGCATGTTCAGTGCCTAAAATCTGTATATCTATATATATATTTGCATTTCACATATATATATTTTAATATGATATTCATTTGGTAACAGATAATCATATGAAAAAATTCCTCCAAAAAAAACTTGCTCTTCCCAACTTAGCAACTAAACATGAAATCTTCCTTGTCTGGTACCGCTTGAAATTTTAGTTCCCAAACTGACAATACCGTCTGTTTGGCCAATGTTTTCCTAAACGGTAAACGGTCTTTGCACGGTCATCCTTCGTTTAGCGTTTAGCCTGTTTACACGGTGTTTAAACGAAGTTAAACGATCTAAACGGTTTTGTATTTAAAAAAAATACATATAATTATATATGTGCATGTAAAAAAATCAAGTATTCTAGCATTTATACATATTTATCCGAGTAAAAATCAATTATTTTGATATGTATATATATTTATGCATGTGAAAAGAACCAAATATAGATTTTTATGCATGTAACATATCAAGTGTACACATTTATCAATATAATAAACTTAAGTATACAAATTTATCCATACAAAACTGAACTAGATTTATCTCGGGTTCGCCTAAACAGCTGTTTAGCCCGTTTAATGCTGTTTATCTTCGTTCCGTTTAGGCCGTTTTTCCCGTTTTTTGACCGTTTAAACGGTCAACCGTTTAATTTCCATTTACCCCCTAAACAAAACATTTTACCACCGTTTACCGTTTACTGGCCGTTTAATCCGTTTAGTCTAACACTGGTTTTGGCATCATATAATATGAATTGTAATGTGGGGTTACATGCACAAAGACGAGAATGCCCTGTCTGCTTAATACATAAATCAAGTCTGAAACTTGGATGTTCGCACGTGAGGCTAGCATCCTAACCCTAAGCGGCTATGGATGGCGGTGGCGCTATGCAGCGCAGCCCTAGCGCCGCCGTTGCGGGCACTCTGCGTAGCCCTTCCATGGGCACCCCTAGTGTGGCTGCCACAACCACTGTGTGAGGCCTCGGCATAGCCTCCACGGCCAACCCGGACTACCTCGACACGGGCACACCACACGTGACCCCGCGCGTGACCTCGCGCAACCCCGCCCCCACCCTCAAGCGCCACCTCGCCCCCGCCCCGGCACCCGAGGCCACCCGACGGACCCATGGCGAGGCCTCCGCGGCCACCCCAAGCAGGCACAGGCCCGACACGTCCAACATCGGCAACCCAAAAAAAATTACATCCTGTTCAAGTGCCTAGAAAAAGAAAATCGCCAAAAATATAGCTGGAACAATTGGAGGGGCAAAAATGTCCTTTCGCAATGGAACTTAACACTGTTGTGTGTGTGATCTCACGGTAGTGTCAGTTTAGGAATAAAAATTTAAAGAGATGCTAGATAAAAAAAGATTTCAAGTTTAGGTGCTAAATTTGGAAGAACAAGTTTTTTTAGTCAAATAAGGAATTTTCTCTAATCATATATGCTAGAAGAAACCAACGGTCAAGACTCACTTGTTGAAGATCATTCTTAATCATAACACCCACCATGTTATAAAATGGAGGAAGTATATTATTTCGTGCTTCGGCCAGGTAAGCGGAACGTGGTCAGCACAAGCCATACCGAGACATAGGAACACTAAACTTGCTATTCGAGATAGATAAACTAGTCAAAGCGTCAACTGCACTATGATGGAGACGCGCTTAATAAAGGGGTTAGGCACATAAGATTTCTGTTTAGCTGATGTGCCCGTTCAAATCCCTTTTTAGCTCATGTGTCCTGGGTGTGACGCACTACTGCATGTGTTATTTGTAGGGGCGGCTCTAGACTATTTGTAAGGACGATTTTATCGGTCGCCCTACGGAACTGTTGCTAGAAATGCCGGTGCGGTCGGCGTTGCTAAAAAAATCGTTGCTCTGGATGGTGACGTACGGCTATCGACAGTTGCTGTCATGTGACCGTGACATCATTGCTCGAGTACTCAACGACACGGGCAAGTGCAGTGAAACAAGAATACAGTCTACAAGGTAAACCAGGTTAGCTCGCCGTCATCCTTTCACAAGTTTATCACTGTTGATGGTCAGGTGGGTGGAAGGTGGCCGTCACAGGTTGCTCTGGATGGTCGGCACTCGCCAAGGCTCTGGTCCGAGGAGCGACGAGGAGGGCTGAACCGGCAGCTAATAGGGACACTTGCCTAGATAGTTGGAGAACAAGTGGCAGAAACTGACAAACAACAATAAAATATGCTCCTCCAATTGCAGGAGCCTGAGCAGTAGAACGATTCTCCGTTAGTGCTAAAGTAATCAGCAACGGTACGTAATACATGCTTAGCCTAAGTAATCTATACAGAATTGTAAGGAAGAAGGATGGTATGGTGGCAAATGTTCTACGGACTGTACCAAGTATCATTTAGAAGGGGTTTAGTGAATGAAAATCTCAACTCTTGGTATGACTTGTAAGAAAGAAGAATAGCTTGGTCACGTTCCGGTCTATGTACAGGACTATGATTAGGCAAGGAGTCATCCGGATTAAAAGCCCACTTTGGAAATTAAGATCAGTACCACTCAAAATCAAGATTTTCCTTTGGTACTTACAACAGGGAGTTACACTTACTAAGGACAACTTAGCAAAAAGAAAATGACAATGAAGCGTCAAATGTTGTTTTTGTAGTGCTGTTGAGATTATTCAACATTTGTTTCTTTAATTACCATTTTCTGAACTTTGTTTGGAATGCAGTGCGCATCACATTTGGAATTCAACCACCCACTGGTTTCTCTAATATGTTTGGCTCGTGGCTAAATGGCTTTTGTCCTAAGCCTCGAAACCAGATTTTGTAATGGATATCAGCTATCTGTTGGGCCTTATGGTTAAACAAGAATGGTGTGGTCTTTAACTAGGCTGTCTCATACTTATTTGCAGGTAATTTTCAGGACGACTTACTGGATCCAACAGTAATCCCTGCTACATGTGGCTGACCACAGTAAAAACAAAAGGGAACTTAACGTGGCTGACCACGTGGCATCAAAATGCACCGTGCCATCCAGTAAGCTGATGCGCTAGGCGCGAGGCATGTGGCGTATCTTGCTAGTCACCATGCCAAGTCATCCACCAACGGTCCTAGCTGGTTTATAAATCTCCTCTCTCCGCCGGCAACCTTACTGGCAAGGCATCGAGTAAACACTTTCTCAAAAATACACACGGAACAATGTGCGGCGGCGTCATCCCCGCGGAGCTGATCCAGCCGACGCGGCGCGTGGCGTCGAAGCAGGTGACTGAAGGCCACCTCTGGCCGGCGAGCTCCAAGAATGCCGGCAGCGGCAGGGACAAGAGGCACCACCATGAAGACGCCGACGATGACTTTGAGGCCGCCTTCGAGGAGTTCAACGACGACTTTGACGTGCTTGAAGACGACGAGGAACACGTGGTGTTCTCCTCCAAATCCGCCTTCTCCTCAGGTAACCAACATCGATCGTTTCTCTTTCATGTCAAGGTGCAAATGTTGTAATCTGTATGGACAGAATGTTGTAAGGTGGGGAACGTTGGCAAGAACTGCATGCATGCTAGTGTAATCTCAAGGGAAAGAACTCTTGGCTATACAATAGCCCACGACGACGGGCGCGCGGCGCGGGCAGCGGGGAGCCATAACAAGCCAGGCCGCCGCCCCTTCCGCGGCATCCGGCAGCGCCCCAGGGGCAAGTGGGCGGTGGAAATCCGCGACCCGCAAAAGGGCACCCGCCTCTGGCTCGGCACCTTCAACACCGCCGAGGACGCCGCCCGGGCCTACGACGTCGAGGCCCGCCGCCTCCGCGGCAGCAAGGCCAAGCTCAACTTCCCCGGAGCACGCCGCGGCAACCCACGAACCGCGCCGAAACCGCAGCACCCTGCTGCAGCAGCAGCACAGCCCGCTCTGCTGCTTCCAGGAGAGAAGCAGAGGCAGGAAGGGATTGCCGTGAAGCCTGAAGCTATGGACTCCTTCGACGTGGGCAGCTTCTTCGACGTGACCTTCCCCACCTTCCCCGCCGCGCCGCCGGCCATGGAGAGCTCCTTCGCCGGCAGTGGCGGTGGCTCCGCGCTAGAGCTCGCTCACGAGCTGGCGTTGGATCCATTTATGTTACTGCAGATGACCTACTCGGGCGGCTACGAGTACGATTCCCTGGACGGCCTTTTCGCCGCAGAGGCCGTGCAGCAGGAAGTGAACACCGACATGAACGGCGTCAGGCTGTGGAGCTTCGACGACTTCCCCGTCGACGGCTCTGTTTTCTGACATGCCCTAGCTATCAGCTGTACTCCTACTCAGTTGCAACTTGTAAGCATCTGAATTCATCACCAACTCACCAGCTTTCTGTTCCTTATCAGATTCTGTTCGTCCACTCCATCTCCCTTTGTCAGATTCTGTTTTTTTTTTTTTGGTTCAGGAAAGGACGATGTTGGTGTTCAACCGTACCAATCAACCGGACGATCGACGCTGCTGATGGCGACTTGGAGATTCCCTGCTACGAGACATTTGCTGCCTGGTGTAATCATATATGTCATAGTACTGCATGTGTTTGCTCGTTAGATTCTGCATCTATACTGCATGTGTATGCCAAATAAGCTTGTGAACCTGGTTCTATATATATGGTATGGTATCGTGTTTATGAGTGTCCCCTGCCGTGGTCTATCTAGTCAGCGGTCGGGTGTTCCAGGGGCCTTGGACACTCGAGTGTAGGATGGCGCATCAGGTGTTTTTTGATCCATTCAACACTTGATTCTCATGAACATTAAATCCAAATCAAATAGACCAAAAAAAATTATAAAAACACTGCAAAAAATTAAATAGACAAAACAAAAAGATTAGCCATATTATTTCTATGGAAGGTACCTTAGAAAATTTCAAAGAAAAACCAAATAAAACATACAGAAATTAAAAAAAACAAAAAATATTATATAATTGTTCGAGTAATTCTGACCATTCTTATCTAAGAATAGTCAATTTACACCAATTAAACATGGAATTTACACTCAAACGGAAATAGTAAAAATACGGTGCAATGAGATGTAATCTTGTCCTATTAAAAAAATAAATCTATATACATGTATGGTGATGTGACGTCTCAGGACCACACACCAGAGCATCCACCTGCACCACGGGTCAGCATGCACCCGCAAGCTGCCACATGCACCTGTCACGGGTCCTCCTGTAGTTTAGGAAACAGACCACGAATTGATCGCCTTGACCGCTCGTCTCCGTCGACGGCTCAACATCGGACGGCCAGCAAGATCGAGTGAGACGAGCGCTTAAGGGAGTGTTCGGCTGGTCTAAAAAATAAGTCGAAATACTATTCTAGCTAGATTGTTGGGGGAGAAAAATATTATTTTGCCTATAAAACATTGTTTATGTGAACAATGCCCGTGTGAGTGGGCTGACCAGCTCCAGCTCAGCTAACTAGCCAGCCGAACACAACCTAAAACACCTGAGTGCCGCATAGATTTAGCGATTTTTTTATGCCAACTAGCACTCCTGATTCCCGAAGGAGTTCAGAGAACACAAATATAATTTCTTTTTTTCTTCTTCATTTTCAAACGAACAAAGATACAATATTCCAATGCGCTGGCAACCGTTGTTTTCCATTTTGTTTAATTCCATGACACATATTGTTGACCTCCTGCAAATGAATGCATCATTTTCCTAGATACATTCCCAGAAATTGTCATGCGACGGGTGCGAAAAACCGCCTCACAATACACAGCTGGTTTTGAACTCCAGCATGGGTACGGTATAATTCAGTCGCGCGGCAAAGTTGCTGAAAAGAAAATAATTTAGACTGCAATAATTTGCACATCTTGCTTGCCTCGGTGTGGTGGCGACAGCGACCTGGCTCAAGTAAAATAAATACTAATGATGGAATCTGCCCGTGATGATGGCCTGATTTTACGGCCCATGATTCTTCACAGCGATTGGATCCTCGTGCATTGTTGCTGGTAAAATAAATACTAGCTAGCTCTCTAGGTCCTCAGTAGTTCATTTGGCTACTTCCACCTGTTCCATTAGCTAGAGGATGAGGATTCTCCCAACACATCCTAATCCTATGAAAAGAACATAATTCGGTCCTCGTAACTCCAACTTGTAGTAAGGCCGTGTTTAGTTTCAACCCAAATTCCTAAAAAGTGCTATAGTAGCTATCACATCGAATGTTTGCGATACGTGCATGAAGCATTAAATGTAGACGAAAAAAACTAATTGCACAGTTTGGTTGAAAATCACGAGACGAACGTTTTGAACCTAATTAATCCATGTTTAAACACGAATTGCCAAATAAAAACGAAAATGCTACAGTAACCCCAAATCCAAAATTCAGCCAACTAAATACGGGCTAAGTTTTCTGCGTGAAAAGGCCGTGGCATGCTTATCCTTTCCTTGGCAAAGAACTTGCAAGATCAATACAACCATCAGTGACTAAGCATCTCTACCATCTTCAGACGTCTGTTACTGCTACTTGTCCATGCATGTGGAAACAGGGGGAGCTAGGAATTTTATAGAGGGGGCGGAGGGCGTACTACCAAAATACATATAGTATAATATAATGTAAATCCCAATATAGTTAGGGATTAACCATATATTATTACATATATCACTAACACCGTTAATTACACATGCAGCCAGCGGCGGATCTAGGAAATATTTCAGGGGGGGGCTGAACAACACTGCTGCTAGATCTCAAGTCTTAGCCCTCCTACACTATAAAACTTTGCCTAAAAATTCATGGGGGCTCCACAGGGGTTCCACTGCTCCGCTCAGGTAGGGTAGGGGGCTTGAGCCCCCCCTGCATGCAGCAAGTCTATAATGTAAAATTCTATAAAAACAAAAAGTATTAAAGGAACTTACATGCTTCAAGTGAATGGTACTCGAAGTGACTGAATTGAATCGAAGTCATCAATAAGTCTATCTGTTGTAAACTTCATTGCTATCTCCTTTCCAATATGAGTTATTAAGCAATTTCTTCGAAACCCATCTTCCATCTTATTTCGAAGTCTTGTTTTAGCAAGTTTCATTGCAGAGAAGGCACGCTCCGTTGTTGCTGTTGAAAATGGTAGGGTTAGAACAAGCCGAATTAACCTACCAAGAAAATTATTATTAGCATTTAAAATAATAATCAATACAATGTAATCGACTAAATTAAAAGAATAAATATTGCATACCTGTCGATCAAATAATCATCATCTGATTTTCCAGTTTCAGCTAGTCGACAACAAAGGTCAAGAATTGTTCTCAAGTTCTGAAATCTATGATTTGTAGGTAAATCAAGTTCATAATGTTGTAATTGATCTCTCAATGTATCTCTTTCTTGCTCTGAAAAATCAGCACTGGAGTGGAGAAAGAGAAATGCGAGTGACTGTTACAAGTTTGCCTATAGGCAAGGATTGTAGCCTCTGCAAGAGAGTTTGGATGGCTCTGTAGCTGCAGAGCCGGAAACGCTTCCGATCGACCATCCATTCCTTGGAAGTAAAATCTGGAAGAGATGGCATGTAACATGGTTTTTTCTGAAGAATCCGTTTCCTCGTAATCTGAGCTGGCTCACCTGTTCATGTTGAGACAAGTCAGACAAACAAAAAGAGAGACGAAATGTAGGTGATCCGTCACTTACATGTAAAAGAAGGCTGAGGGGCCTCGCTAAATTCACCTCTTTCTGCCGAAACCAATACAGTCGATGCTGGCAATTCTTCAGAGTTGAGGCATCAGCTTGGACAGGGTTCCATCTGACAACTGAGAAGAGCTAGCAAATGAGGAAATGTACATGGCCCGGGATGCTATAAGTAGTAATGTGACTCCATGTGTGTACGCATCAAACCAAAGGGCTCCCAACACTTTCTGCAAAATGGGGTAATGACATGGTCTTATACAAGTGATGTGGGGATGATGCACCTCGTGGTTCCCTTCTTTCTGCAAATAGCTGTAGGTGATGCAATTGTGCAAGTGGCAAAGTCTGTGGGAGTAGAAAACCCAGGGGACTCTCGGACCGCCGCCTATGGTCCGCGGACTGGAAGTGCCCATGGTATTGCTAGCAACGATCTAACCAGCAAGCATTGCCACAGTGCCCGGGTTGTTCAGTGGTGACTATGTTCTGTCTGCAGATAGCTGCAATTGCAAGTGATGCAACTAATGGCCTACTTGGATACAAGGGCTAATTACTAGTTAACTAAAAATTAGTCAAAATTAGTTCTAGTGTGTCCAAATAGAAGAGCTAATGGGTGGCTAATTATTTAGCCAATTCTTCCACTAATTGTTAGCTAACTAGGCAACTAGCTAGCCAAACATAGCTAATATCGAATAGGGCAAAAAGCATGTAAGGTAAACGGAAAAACCGTGGAACTCCCACTCATAGACTGCCCTATCGGACTGAAAAAAGAATTGTACGGCACTGCTATCGAATAAGCAATTAAAGAAAAACAAGGGGAAACCAAAACGCTCAGTTGACAATCAAAGGTAGTTAGGGGTGGATCTAGGGGCGCCCACCCCCAAGAGTAGGACGAAAGAAGAAAAATGGAGAGAGATAGAAAAAAGAAGAGACCAGCCCTCCTTCAATCCTGTTCTGCATCCGCCACTAAAGATAGTCAAAGTGTACAGTGGACTCTGCCATGATGTTTTTTTTGTCGAGATAGTCAGAAAATATATTTGAATCATCTCATTTAAAGCCCAGACGAAGAAAAATAGTTTTTCGGGGGCTGCCCTAACCAAAACAGACCTGCCCAGTTTCTAAAACTTTTTTTTTGGCGATTACACAGCCCAGTTCCCAAAACTTATTTGTCAATTTTGATGCTACGGCAGAGAAATCGTTTAACTAAGCTTATTCTTTTTTTTTGTCAATTTTGATGCTACGGCAGAGAAATCGTTTAATTAAGCTTGTTGTTCTCTTTTTTCCTTTCTTTTTATTTTGAACCAGCTTGTTCTCCTTTATATTGCAATAGATTTTTTCAGAATTACACAGTACAATGTAGACACCTACAACACGCACGCGCGCACACTCAACCCTATGAACACAGGTATGAAAACTCTACCCCTATGAGCACCTCCGAAGGACTGAGCCGGCAGATCTTGAAATTCACAAAGTCACCACAGGCGCTACGCTGTCAACGGGGACGTTGCCTACCACGGAAAGCATTGTGTCGTTAAATCCTAAAATAAATTCAGGAAAATACAAACACCCATGTCAAATCGATGACTTCAGCGAGTGTTCGGCTGGCTAGCCAGCTGGGGCTGGGCTGGCCAGCGGAGACACGAAAATATTGTTTACATGCACAGTGATTTCATACAGAACAGTATTTTTCCCTCACAGCAATCAGCCGAAACAGTATTTTGACTTATTTTTCAGTCCTGCCGATCAGCCCCTCAACCCGGGTGGGCAGATTTCACCGTAAAGAACCCAACCAACCATGATCAGTTCAGATGATTCTGCAAAGTTGAAACCAACAGGGCCCAAAAACTAACAATGTAGTGACTACAAGCCTACTAGTACATTGTTGGGCTGGGGTGGCTTAGTGACTGGCGCGTTGGTGGGAGGTAATGGGCCGGCCTCACTTGATATCCATCCCCCAACGTTGTGTCCTGTCTGGCCTGTCACGATTGGGCCTAATCATTTTCGACAGAGGCTGCTGCACCTCGTGAATCAAGCCCAGAAGACAAACAAGCTATCACGGTGAACATATGGGCCCATGCACGCTGGTGGAAGATGAAAAAGGCTTTTCTGCAGATTTTTTTTTAATTTATTATTCTCCACGAGACTCGTGACTCACTGATGACTCCCCGTCCGGGTCCGGCCGGCCATGTAATTCTCTAGTCGTGTCATTAGTGACCCAACACAGTGGATCATGTGTCGATCGTTCTTTTAAGTATCTTGGCGACTGATGAGTAGAAGAAACATGCATGTGTAAACAAACGACGCGAGGAAGGAGAAACAACGTATGCAACAGAGAGCAGGAGACCGAGCTGTTTAGTTCCAAGCACAAGGAGACACGAAGGCACATGAACACGGCCATGGACGTCTCCATCAATGGCATCCGACGGCAAGACAACAACAGCTGAGAGATCCCTCGTAACCATCGCTGCGAGGCTTGGTCGCTTGCCCTGCCGCTCATAAGGCACTGCACGGGGGGGCGCTCCGATCACGCCCCGTCAAATCGACCATGCGCCACGGCGCCGCCGCTGCCTCAGCTGCTGGGCCTCTCCTAGATCCATCGCCACCACCATGTCGCTGTCGTGGCTGACGAGCGGCGACGCGTACAAGTCGCCGGCGTTCATCGCGCTGGTGAGCGCGCTGTGCGTGGCCGCCGTGCTGCTGCTGCACCACTGCGTCCTCGTCAACTGCTGCCACGACGCCGACCGGCGGCGCCGCAGGCAGCACCTCCACCGCCGCGTCGTCGGCGTGGCCACCACGACCTCGGCCGACGCGCAGCGGCACCAGCAGGACAACGACGCCGAGGAGGAGGCGAGCGTCAGCGTGGAGGTGAGCGCGACGTCGCGCACGCACCTCGTCGCCGCGGCGGTCGTGGGCCGGTACCGCAAGGAGGAGGCCTGGAAGGAGACGACGTGCCCGGTGTGCCTGGCGGACTTCGACGACGGCGAGGCCGTGCGGGTGCTGCCGGAGTGCATGCACTACTTCCACGCCGAGTGCATCGACACCTGGCTGCGCGGGAGCACCAGCTGCCCGATGTGCCGCGCCGAGACAACGCCCACGCCGTCGCCCACGCCAACACCTAGCTCGGCGTCCGTGCGCCACCACCTCGAGCTCTCCGTCTCGCTCGAGGAGATCCTCGTCCGGACGGAGCAGCGCTCGGACCATTTCCTCGGAGCACCGACGGCGTAGGCGTAGGCGTAGGCTGCGGCTGCAGCGCGCCGGTGCGGCGCAGCTCCAGTCCCTGGAAGCGTAGCGAGAAACAGAGCAACCAAAGGAGGAAGGCGAAGCAGAGTGCTGGTTGCTCTGCTTCGTTTGTTTGTATGCATGGAAGCAGAGTAAGGGCGCATGGCGGGGATTTCTTGCATTTTTGGATAGGACAGGGAGATTTTAAAATTAGCTGGAGATATTTTTTTTCTCTTGGTCTCAAATTCATTTTAGAGATTCTTACTTTTTAAAACTAGCAAGTTTTTGCTAATTCATGAAGACTCGGCAAGATTATACTTTGTTGCCACTATTCCTCTGGGTGTTGGTACCATAGAAAAATCTAGATATTCAAAGGTGCCTTTAATTTCCACACACATTTGTTTATATTAGGGACACCCTCATGAATTAGTGCTAAATAATATAAAGTGATTTTTATTGAGAATAATGACGAATTCGGATTTTAATTCCAGTAAATTAAATCTTGCTCATGTTCTACTTCAATGTTATATAGCAATGTGTCTTAACTTGTCGCTCTTATGATACTAACATACAACCAGTGACATTGCCTATGCCCAGAGAAATTTGGAGGAACTGATAGGATGTTTAGTTTCAGGAATGGGTTAGTTCTTCATCTTGTCATTGCTCACATTTTTGTGTCATTTGTGGAATAAAATGGGTTGATGCATCGTTACCTTATTCACCAAATTTAACGAATGAATCCATGATGCACCATCTCGTCCACAATAGTTTGATTCCTAAAACCAAACAACCTGTAAGAAGAGTTTCTGCTATACAAATAGAAGGACCGGCAAGGATGTTGGGGCTGCAGTGTTCCATTTCACAGCCATTTATCTTAGGAAACATGAAATGTGTTCCACCTTTCGCTACGAACGATCCAATCCAACAAAATCCTACTTAACATTTATGAGGGGAGAATAAAAATAAGAGTCCTGGATTTCCTTTGAACTTCTATTAGCCTTTATTAGGACGTTAAACAATCATTTGCCACGTAGGACAGGATTCTTGTTGTTCAAATCATGGAGCCATAACCCGCATTGATCTTTAGGGTATCACACAATACTCTATTTGGGAAGGCAGTCTTCTGCTCATCACCTTGCAAGAATGAATCTCGAGCAAAAGTAATGAATTTTTTTTTTGTAAAATACCACTTTGTATAGAAAAAAAAATGAAATGATATATATTATAAGGCTACTAAATCCTGAATTTATCAATGTTAGACAACCCCTACTTAGAGATGCTTGCCTCTCCATCTATAGAGTCACTTTTCAAAACACCCCACCATTTCCCAATGGGTATTTACCAATTTTCTATAATGAATACAAACACCTGAATATCTTGTTTGGAATTTACCTAATTTTCATCTAAAGGGTGTCACTAAAGCAGAATAACTCGCTCTTATGAATGTCTATTTGTAGACTTGATACTTGGTGAAATGGACAAAGTACTTATTTTATGTTGTGAGCATGCTTCAGATCATGTTCTAGTAGTAGAAATGTATAATCCGCATATTGTAAAATAGATAAATTATCATCAATGGTATGTGACACTATTAAGATGATAGAGCAGAAAGTGAACCTCCTTATCGAATGTCTTTTTTTGTTTGGAAAAGCTTACTAACATCATCATTAGCATTCATCGAAATGTTTTTTTAGCTTCGAAGTTCCTATAGACTCATCAAGAGTAAAGGAAGTCACCTCAGGTTCTCCAAACAATCCCTTTAACATATTTTTTGTGATATATATGCTTTTAAGTTAGCTTGTCCATCATTTCTACCGATCTTGTGATGAAGAAAGAAAAATTCTCGTTTACCTATGCTTGGCATTGGCTATCAATTGGAACTATCTCCCAGTAAAGATACAGCACGCTAATAGTATTTAATTTCCTATTAAATACTAAAAAAAACACAACGCGTGCTATCTCTCAGGTTCTCCAAACAACGCCGCGCGTACGTTAAAACCCAGAGCAAAATTTGACAAAAAATCCCTTGCGTTGCGTGCTCGATCCATCTGACTTAGTAATTTGCAGGAGCCACTTGGAGGCGCTGGACATGGTCCATGCACCGGCTCCATATATGCTGTCTGGCCCACGCTGGGGGTGGACACCTGCGGCTGGCTTCCCACTCATCAGCCAGCCACATGAAGAACTGTGCAGTGCTGTAACGGAGGGCCTATTATCATTTGCTCAAATTTTGGAACTATCTCCGAGTAGCACGCTAATGGTCATTGGTCAATGCAAGAGATTGATCAGCAAGTTGTTCGAATGATCTCAGCGGCACTATCTAAACTGTTAAAAATGTAAGGTGAGTGAGATCGACATTCGTTTATTTGTTTGTATATGAGCAGCCCACCCATAAAGAAAATTCTTAATACATATAGTGTTTAGTTTATTGTTCCAACATTTGACTGAATTTGACATTTTACCGGCTTACTTCATATTTCCATGCCACGGGCATTGAAATCATCACCGACCAACCAAGTTCAAGGTTGACCCTTCTACAAACATCTGTACACGTACATATCTATCTTAATCTTCTAGTACAATAATGAAAACTAAGACGTATATAATAGCACGGATGGTAATCCTAGCTAAAAAAAGGAAACAAAAGGTTCAGCAATTGCAAGAGCAACACGTACGGAAACACCCTAATAAGCAAATACTCCCTCCATATATATTTAGTACCCGGTTTTAAGAACAAAACCAGATACACACCATATGTGAGCCCAGAAAGTCAAATCTCACATATAGCTAAAAATAAGGATAATATCAATAGACAATGCTCAATATATGACATACTTAGTATAAAGAATATAACCTTAGATAGCAAAAAGCGAAAAGACAACTCCGATCTTCGGACGAAGACTCCAATTCTACGGGGACAACTGACTGGTTGATCACGATCGAAACCCAAAATCATGGGTCCGCCTACCATACGAGAAAATGTCTCCTCCTGACCTATTCCATGCCAGGAGGCAGCAGCGCTGCTCCTCACATATTCCACACCAGAAAGCACTCCTTGAGCTGGTATGCCTGCCAATTCTTATTTACTTTGTTATTACCAATATTCTATGCCACTCATACATTCCATGCTAGAACGCTCCTCCTGCCTATAGTTTGGCGCAAGCCGCACAAAATAGACACTTGAGCCGGTTTATCTGGCATACCATAAAACGGCTTCTCCACACCCATTCCATTTCCAGGAGCGCTCCTCCTCACCTATTCCATGCCAGAAGCACTCCATGAGCCGGAACCACATCAAACAGGCACTTAATTATTACTGTTTTTTTATTATTTGCAACGTTCTATGCCTGTCATACATTGAATGCTAGAACGCTCCTCCTGCCTATAGTTTTTGGTGCTGGCCGCACCATACAGAAGAGCACTGCTCACCTATTCCATGACAGAAGCACTCCTTGAGCTGGAACCACACCAAACAGGCACATAATTATTACTTTATTTTATTATTAACAACACGCCAAACAGGCACTTAATTATTACATTTTTTTATTTTTGGCAACATTTTATGCCTGCCATACATTCCATGCTACCAGCCTTAGCAGTGAACACTCCACCAGGGTTGCACGGCATGAGGCGTTGCGGATTTATTTGAAATAATATTACTCTCATAATTAATTACAAATCTAGATATTAAAGGGCGTACCCAGTGCAGAGAGCTCCTGCTCTGTGCGGGATCTGGGGAAGGGTGTTAGTGGCAAGCCTTACCCTCGCGTGTGCAATGCGAGTAGACCACGACTCGAACCCGGGACCTTCCGGTCACAGGCGGTAAGACTCTACCGCTTGCACCAGGCCCGCCCTTCAATTACAAATCTAGATATTGCTTTTATAAAATTGCAAAACTAGCATTCTATTTGTAATTAATTAATCATTATTAAATAATATTATTTCAGTAAAAATTCGAGGCGTTGCCAACTGTGGAGTCACTAGCCTGCAACCTCATTTTACATTATAGGCAAGCTGTGTAGCAATGCTTCTTGGCCTTGGAGAGGTGGGATTAAGCGACCTGCGTTGCGACGGCGCTGCTTTCTGCTTCTTCGTCTGTAAACTGTGGCTTGTTTCGGTAGCTATGGGCCCATGTGAAGCCGATCTGGGCTGGTTGTTGCCCCAAACAGCTGAACAATGTGATGTGCTCCACGTATAGGGGAAAAAAAACATGCCGGCCACACAACAGGACTGGTAGCTAAAGCTCATGTTGATTTTTCTAAACTGTATTATTTTCTTTTCGCTGATCCATATTATTACTTTTCCAATTGTTTCGTGACAATTAAAACATACTCTTATCTTAACAATAAAAATGTGAAATTAAATGTGGTAACAAGTAATGAATGGTTTGTGAAGAACAATTTCCCCATATAAAATGATGAGAAAAATTCATCAACGGTTCTCAAAGTTATCTCGAGGTGTCATCTAGGTCCTCAAAGTCCTAAAACTCATTTTTGGCTCTATGAAGTTGTAATGGGTCTCATCAAGGTCCAAACTGATGTTTACCAGACTCGCTATCCATGTGGCATTCGATTCAAAGCTTACTTGCATCTGATAGATGGAACCAACATGTTAGCGACAAAGCCCCCACTTCAGATGAACATAATTTTATATCAAATTTGTAGTCCTAGATGAGATCTACAAATTTCTAGTGTTTTTTTCATATGAAATCGTTAAGAGGCTCAAAAAGTAATGTAAAGTTTCAGCGGTATATTAATCGCGTACCTAGGCTTGGCACCTTAAGAAAAAACATATAATTCTTGTATAGTGTTGGATAAAGATACTTTTTGTATGTAGCCATCGACGAGATCTACAACTTGATAGTTTGAGTTTTGTAATTTAAGATTACTAAGAAACTCAAATGAATAATATAAATTTTCAGCGGTATATTAATCGCAAACCAGGGTTTGTCATATCGGAAAAATTATATCTTGTATGGTGTCAGATAAAGATATTTTTATATGAAA